GCCTCAGCATGGCCAGAGAAGTGGTGCTTCGGTGCGCAGCGGGATCCGAACCCGGGCCGCCAGCAGTGGAACGCGCGCACTTAACCGCTAAGCCACGGGGCCAGCCCCCTCTCAGTCCCTTTCATGACTGACACTTTTGAAAAATATTGACCAATTATTTTGGAGATTGTCCCTCAAGTTGGGTTTGTCTGATGTTTCCTCATGATTGTACAAAGGTTATGCATTTTTAGCAAAAATACCACAATAGTGGTGTGATGTGTCCTTCTCAGTACATCATATCATGGGAGTCATAATGCTGATGTTTTATTACTGGTGATGTTGACCTTGATTACTTGGTTAATGTGGTTTCTACTCGGTTTCTCTACTTATAAAGTTACCATCTATTCCTTTGTTGTATTTCTTCTCAAATTTTCAACCACTAATTTCAGTGTCCATCAGTGAGTCTCATCTGCAACAATTAGTATCAATATGGATTCATGGATATTGATTTTATTCCATGGGTTATATCGTATTTTATTTATTTTGTTGCTCAAGTTGTTCCAGCTTTGGCCGTTAGGAGCTCCTTCAAGTTGGCTCCTGTCTTTCATCAAGTGCCTGTCTTTTTTTGAGAACTTCCTTACTTTCTCTCACCACAAGACGTTCCAAGCTTATCTTGTATGTTATTTTGTTTTTTGTAGATTGGTTCGAGTGAGTAAAAACTACCGATCAGTCATAAGAGCGTGTATGGAGGAAATGCACCAGGTTGCAAGTAAGATTTTGTGTGTGTATATGTGATAGTAGTTGAAGTATTTATCTGGCTGTAAATACTACAAGGCAAACTCTGATTGACATTTTCCAGTTCAAAACTCTTATTTTCCCATCTTACATAATCCTTAATTTTTTGGCAATTGTCTTGAGTACGTTTTTCCAAGTTAGAACATATTGAGTTGACAGATATGAGGCTAAAGGGCCAAATTAAGGATCTTTGAAAATCACCTTCCTAGTTCTTTGATCTTGGTGATTTAAAGTCACCATAACCGTGAGAGCCACATGACTCCTGGATGCCAGATAGGGTCTTGTATAACATGGTGGTCTCTAATTGCTATTTGCTGCGGTGCAGTTGACAGTGCTGCTTGTAACTTGAGAGCCTTGGTTTGAGATTCATTGATCTACAACAAAGAGATAGGGAACATTAAAAAAAAAATCTATAGTAAAAGTGGATAGTCATTAGAAGACACAAAGGCACAAGCCACAGAACCTGGTATATGAAGCTAAAACAGTAAGACTACAAGTTTCATTGCTCACTTAAAATGTTTTGTGTTTTGTTAGTTGCTGCTAAAGATCTAGCCAGTGGCCGCCAGTTCAGCACCCAGGTAAGGGAGGCCACCTTTGTTGTACTGGCACCTTTATGTCTTTCTGTGTCCTTTGCACCCACCTGGGGTGGCTTTGTAGTCACTGTTTTTGCCGAAGTTTCTCTTCTTTCCGGGTAAACAGGCAACTCCTTGGGGTGCTAAGGATTGTCTTTTTTTGTGTGTGTGAGGAAGATCAGCCGTGAGCTAACATCCATGCCAATCCTCCTCTTTTTTATTGCTGAGGAAGACTGGCCCTGAGCTAACATCTGTTGCCAATCTTCCTCGTTTTTTTCCCTTTTTCTCCCCAAAGCCCCAGTAGATAGTTGTACGTCATAGTTGCACATCCTTCTAGTTGCTGTATGTGGGACGCCACCTCAGCATGGCCCAATAAGTGGTGTGTCAGTGCGCACCGGGGATCCAAACCCGGGCCGCCAATAGCGGAGCGCGCACACTTAACCGCTAAGCCACAGGGCCGGCCTGATAAGGGTTGTCTTAAACTTCCTGGTGTAGCTTTCAAGGCCTAGCACATTGGAACACAAGGATGCGCTTGATAAATACTCGTATGAGTTTTCAGTTCTTATGGGAACTACAAATCCTAACCACGTTGTGTCACCTGAGATAGGGAGCTGAGCTTTTGGAACCACTGCTTAGCCTTATAAACTGTGCTTAACTCATAAACCAGCATTTTTACTGAGCTGCAAGTTGTTAATACTTTAGTTGGAGCTGGAAGATGACTTAAAGAATTCTCTTTCTTTGGTAGAATCTTGGTACTGTTCAAACTCAGTAATGAATAGGGACTGATGCACTATCTCTGAAGTCAGCAAAACATTTATTTTCCCTTGGGAATAAGATATTCTGTATTTGTGCACAGAAGGATGGTGGGCAAGAGGAGATTGTGTATCCCTAAGGGCAGGGTGCAGACCTGGTTTGTTTTGGTGTCTCATGTTGGATTTGCTTTTTATTTTATTTTATTGTTTTTACTTTTTGTGAGGAAGATCAGCCCTGAGCTAACATCCAATGCCAATCCTCCTCTTTTTTGCTGGGGAAGACTGGCCCTGGGCTAACATCTGTGCCCATCTTCCTCCATTCTACATGGGATGCCTCCACAGCATGGCTTGACAAGTGGAGCATTGGTGCATGCCTGGGATCCGAACTTACGAACCCTCGGGCCGCCGAAGCAGAGCATGCGCACTTAACCACTACGCCTTATGTCTTATGTTCTGATGGCCATCTTTTGTGGAAAAATTTGAAGAAAGAATAACATTATTAAAAGAGATGATGACAAAAAGTTAATAAAAACTCAGTGTCCTTCCCACTGCTTTTATTCTTTGCTCTAAGAGCAAATCTCAGGAATGTTTTCAGTCAAAACTTTGTCTCCATGTCTTCCTTAGGTCTCCATTTTGTCAGCAATGGAGCTCATTTGGAATCTTTGTGAGATTCTTTTTATTGAAGTAGCCCCAGGTGAGCATGGAATCATCCTGTCACAACATCAAAAGTGTCCCCCTGCACTTTCCTCTTTGCCTTTTCTGTGTGTTCTGATGAGTGTTTTGTTGCCTGGAATGCTCTTTTCATCAACATAACCATCAGAAAGCATTATATAACACCCGAAGAAGCCTGCCATTTGGCCAGATACTGCAAAAAGAATCAGACAGAATGCCTTCTAGAAACCTAAAATGTTAGGTAGATGACCCCTGAAAAATACCAACAAAACAGATATTAAACTAGTGTGTGAAAGGAGTGGTCCCTGGGAGTGGTATTTATATCATGGACTGGTCAAGCTTAAGAAAGTTTTAGGAGAAACTAGGAGAGAGGCATGGAACAGGTTCTTCCTCACAGCCTCAGAAGGAACCAACTCTGCCAGAACCATGATCTCGGACTCTAGCCTCCAGAAGTGTGAGACGATAAGTTTCTACTGTTTAAAAAAAATTTTTAATAAGGAAAAAGAAAGTTTTAGGGATGTGAGCAGGGATTAGGTGGTGGGAGGCAAAGTCACTTTGAGAATTCTGTCACTAGTGATTGGGGTGGGGGCAACCCTGCACATTAACTGTCCACTCCAAATTATTCCATTGATCTTGAATTAAATTGTGGTCAGTGTAGTATCCTGGCTTGAGTGGGCTCTCTCCAAGTCATTTGCATTCTTTTAGTGGTTTGTTTGCTGTTATCCATAAATGAGTGTTAATAATCTCCGTGCAGTCATAGCTTTTTATTCATACTCCTGCTAAAGCAGTGAACAACTTGAAATTAAAATTAGGTGTTTGTATGCCTATCTCCTCCAGTAGATTTTGGAGGCTGTCACTATTTTTATCATCATTGCATACCTAGCACCTAGTCAGTACCAGTCCCTAAATGGCCATTACTTACATAGCCACTGAGCGTTGCATAGTCGTGAAGAATCTGGGGGTGGTAGAGGGTGGTGAGATCTAGGACTCTATTCAGCCCTTTTCAGGATTCAGTGAAAGGTGGAGCTGCCTGGCGCAGAGGAAGTATTCTGTAAAAGTCCACTTGCTAGCCTAGTCCTTTGTTGAGGACCACATATGTGCCCACGTAAGAGGGATAAATCACTTGCTGCATAGCTCGTCTGCCCTACATTCTCTGTCTGTACTATGGGAAAGTGGAATTTGCTGCAGATGAAGCTGATGTTTTTGTTTGTGACAAGAATCTTTCCCCCCAGCTGGCCCTCTCCTTCTTCACCTCCTTGACTGGGTCCGACTGCACGTATGTGAGGTGGACAGTTTGTTGGCAGATGTTCTGGGCAGTGAGAATCCAAGCAAACATGAGAGCTTCTGGAACTTGGTAAGGACCTCGTGCAGCCTGGGCCTCCCTGCCTTTCACTCATATTCTGTTTTCCCCAGTGCTTGCAGGCAGACCTGGGGGTTGCCTGCTGAGCATGCATGTGCTTGACCTGGCTGTTTGAGTCTGTGATTATGGAGACACTCTTAGATCTCTTCTTCCCTGCTCCATGGGAGAGTTTAGAACCAAGTTATCATGCAAGAAAAGTAATGCTTTGTAGACTTTCCAGTGAGAAGGGAAATTTGATTTCTTTGTAGATCTCAGGAAGAAAAGACATGAAGATAACACAGAACTGATTGATGGGGATGGGGGGTTGATGTAAATGAGCATGAAGGGTAGTTTGACGTGATTGAAATGTTTTAAAACTGGGTTGTAGTGATGGTGCACAATTCTGTAAACTTACTAAAACTGATTGAATTATATGCCAAATAGGTGAATATTGATAGTGTGTAAATTATAACTTAATAAAGCTATTATCAATGCAAATAATCCATAACTAATCTATAAATCAAAATTGGGGTGAGTTTTGGGCCGGCCCCATTTCTTAGCGGTTGGGTGCACGCGCTCCGCTGCTGGCGGCCCGGGTTCGGATCCTGGGCGCGCACCGCTTCTCCGGCCATGCTGGGGCCGCGTCCCACATACAGCAACTGGAAGGATGTGCAGCTGTGACATACAACTATCTACTGGGGCTTTGGGGGGAAAAAATAAATAAATAAAATCTTTAAAAAAAAAAAAAAATTGGGGTGAGTTTATTATGAGCCAGACTTGAGGACCATATAGCCCAGGGGCTTCCTTCTCCAAGGAAGGAAGGGCACCAGAGAAGTGGGGTGTACAGAGTGGTTATATACTGTCAAAGAACATGTATCACATATGATTGCAATGTCCCTTTTATAGTAGTCATGATGCTCTGTCGGCACGGTGATTGATGGACACAGCAAGTAGCAGGTCTGCTATCTCAATGGGCACAGCAGGTAGCAGGTCTGTTGTCTTCGAGCTAGGTGGTGGTCACGGGGTGAGTGCCGCAATCAATTCCTAGCCTAGGGAGAGATGCTTATCCTTAAGGAAATGCCAGTGTAGGGGAAGTTACATCTTTATCTTAAGGGCATTTGTTCTTGTCTTTGGGACATAGTAAATGCTTAAAGCAGATACACGATGCATGCTCAGCGGCCACGTCAGGCTCTTTGGGAAAAACAAGGTCAGGCCGAATTAGTTTTACACCAAGTGGCTTCCTTATATACTCCAGTATATCCTATTGCTTGCCATTTATTTATCACTGTTAAACAAAAAGATTGATCCCGAGGTCATTTTGGATTATCAATTTGGAAGACAATGTGTGTGTCAGCTCTGTGTGTATGTATATGTATATGTATATGTATGTATTCTATGCCAATGAGAGCAATACTTTTTTTCATTCACCTCTACTGACCTGTGACCCAAGGGAGGCAGCAGGGAGGAGGTTGCTAGTTGACCTACGGTTACTAGTTGAATAATGGTAAGTTGATTAAACTTATAAAATCTGGAATTTAGATGAGGAGTTGTTGCCTTTGAGGCTATTTCTGAGCCTTTTGGTGCCAGGAGGTCTGTGCAGGTAAGGGGAGAGCTTTTGCTCAGGAAGTATTGGGCCCAGATTTTGAGTCTCTGATTCATTCACTGAGTATTGAGTGCTGCTGTTTGCAAGGCACTGAGGAAACAACCATGACCAAAGCGGGCAAAGATTCCTGCCCTTATGGAGCTTACATCCTGGGTGGGGAGACAGGAAATAAATACAGAAACAAGCGAAATACGTAGCATGTGTAATAGTGAAGTGCTGTGGAGAGGAATAAAGCACGGGAGGGGAATTGGGAGTGCCAGAGTGGGGGGGAGTCAAGGAAGGCCTCACTCCTGAGGTGACATGTGAGTAGAGACCGGAAGGGGGTGAGGAGGGAAGCTGTGCAGATGGAGGAAGAAAGAGCTTTCCAGACAGCGAGACCTGCAGATGCCCTGTCCTAGGGACAGAGTAAGATGAAGAACAACAAGGATGCCAGTGAGCCAGGAGCAGTGTGAGCAAGAAGGAGAGTTGGGGAGATAAGAGCAGAGAGAGATAGGGCCAGGTCTAGAGGGCCTTTTGGGCTGTCATAGGACTTTAGCTTTTAGGGAGGCAATATAGCAGAGTGGTAAGAATATGGTCTGTGGTACCAAACTGCCTGGGTTAGCATCCCAGCTCTGCCTCATATTAGCTGTGAGGTCGCAGATGAGTTACTTAACAGCCTTTAGTTTCCTGATCTGTACAGTGGAGATAATAGTAACACCTACCTTGTAGTGCTGTTATGATTAAATTAGTTAAATAACACAAATGTGTATCAACTAGTTGATGGTCACAATAAGAGCTCTGTTTTACTCCAGAGTCCGATGGGATGAGGGGGGCTTTGGAGAGCAGGAGAGCCATGATCTGACTTAGGTTTTTATTTTTTTTTATTTATTTATTTTTTTTAAAGATTTTATTTATTTTATTTTTCCCCCCAAAGCCCCAGTAGATAGTTGTATGTCATAGCTGCACATCCTTCTAGTTGCTGTATGTGGGACTCGGCCCCAGGATGGACGGAGAAGTGGTGCCTCGATGCGCACCCGGGATCCGAACCCGGGCCGCCAGCAGCGGAGCGCACGCACTCAACCGCTAAGCCACGGGGCCAGCCCTAAAGACACTTTAAATATTAAAGTATTTAATATAGAGTGTTGATTCATTAACACTGAACTCAGGGCCACCAGCACTATAATGCAGGCCTGAACGAAGCTTATCTAACGTGTTTTCTCCATACGGCACATCACAGCCTTCTTGGCACTTAGAAGCACTGGACAGCACTTTAGCACTATGCTTGGGGCCCAACAAAAAGCAAAAAAATGTTAAAAAAAAAATGTGGCATTGAGTAGATCATGAAAAAGACGATTGTTTAGTATGAGACCTGATACAAGAAGGTAGAGCGCCGCCTTGTTTGACCTCAGCTGGGAATGTGTGCATCAAGTGAATCAAATTTTTTGCTTCTTTGCACATGTCCACAAATGATGGTGAAAGCACCTCGAATATTGATTTGAGGGTTATAAATAAATTTTAGCAAGTAGCAAATTCACTGAATAAAGAGAATGAACTGTATATATATTGAGTATATGTATATATACGTATATATATTTGAACCGAAACTTTTATGAACCCATCCTTGATTTGATGCTCTGTGATATTTTGTATTTCATTTATTTTTTAAAAGTTGGTCACAACCTGTAATAGGTTACAAGGTGCGGTTTCAAAAGCACGGTACAGGTTAAAACCACAAGACTGGGTGAACTAGATGACCTCTGGAGGGAAGGAACCCTCATGCTTCTTCAAGGCTAGGAAGCCAAATTATGGATGGAGGGGACTGGCTTTCTGGCCTCCTGTGAATGCTCATGTTCTTGGTTGTCTTCTCAGGTGACCATCTTGGTGCTGCAGGGCCGGCTGGACGAGGCCCGACAGATGCTCTCCAAGGAAGCTGACGCCAGTCCCACCTCTGCAGGCATGTGCCGAATCCTGGGGGACCTGATGAGGACGATGCCTGTTCTCAGTGTATGTGGGAGCAGCCCTGCTCTGCTGGGTCGGTCATGGGAGACAGGTTTTCATTAAGCATAAGGGGTTTGTGTGGTGATGGCACCTCACTGCATATCTCCCCGTAGCCTGGTAGCACTCAGACACTAACAGAACTGGAGCTGAAGTGGCAGCACTGGCACGAGGAATGTGAGCGGCACCTTCAGGACGGCACGTTCGCCTCCAGTCCTCACCTGGAGTCTCTCTGCAAGGTCTGTGGGAGGCAAGTCCAGGTCGGGCTCCAAGTTGGCTTCCCTTGGGCTGTGGCACCCAGCGTAGCCATGGCAGGAACTTGGTCCTCCTTGAACAGGGCTATCCGTTGGCCCTGCTGGGAAGGAGAGAGCTTTCAGACTAGGTGCTCTAGTTGAGATCAGGAGGGTTATAGAGAAGTCGCTCCAGGAACTAAGGGAACACGTCTCTCTTGTCAGATCATGCTGGGAGACGAAGCTGCCTTGTTGGAGCAGAAGGAGCTTCTGAGTAACTGGTATCATTTCCTAGTGACCCGGCTCTTGTACTCTCATCCCACAGTAAAACCCATTGATTTGCACTTCTATGCCCAGGTGAGTCTCTGCTCTGTGGGGTCAGGGTGGGGAGTAGGAATCCTGGGGGCTCTGCTCCCTGCTAGGTCATTTTCAGGGTGTGGCCTCTTTGAGTTGAATCTTCCTGGAGAATGGGAAGGGCCTTCCTTTTGGCCCTTTTTGAAGGACTCCATCACCCTTCTCCAGTGTTCCCTACACAGCAGCCTTACCTGCTCCCTTGAGTCTCTGCTTCCATCTGGGGATTGAGTGGGTCCCCACCTTTCCACAGTCCAGCCTTGACCTGTTTCTGGGAGGTGAAAGCAGCCCAGAACCCTTGGACAACATCTTGATGGCAGCCTTCGAGTTTGACATCCACCAAGTGATCAAGGAGTGCAGGTAGGACCCGCTGCATCACCACCATTCTAACCGTCTTTAGGTGTGCAATTCACTGGCATTAAGTACATTCACAGCGTTGTACAACCATCACCACCATCCTTTTCTAGAATGTCTTATTCCTTCTTGCTGGTGTCTTAACCTTCTTCCTGTAGACCTGCTCCCTTCCCCAGCCACATGTAGGTAGATAACGGCTTCTCTCTGGATGAGCTTGGGGACCTTCCTGAGGCTTGAGGACTACCATATTTATAACAATTTCCATTGCAGGGATGTTTACTTAAAATAAAATTTCAGGAAGTTACTTTGATGTTTAAAATCCAGAAAAAACCAACAAGCCCATTTCTTGGAACCCAATGGACATGCAACCACCTTAAGGCACAGCAGTTCTCAACAGTCTCACTCTAGTGAGCCGAGGGCTACCACACCGTCCGGCTCCTGGCTGGGTCTCTTCAGAGCGGGGATTCTACACCAGCCCTCTCCCCAAAAGGGTATCACATCATTGCATTGAACCTTCAGCAAGGCAGGAAGGGGACTGTCAAACATAATGAATAAAAAGTAAAGCTTTCCAGAAATTTCCATCGATAAGAAGTCAGAAAGAATTTCCCTTTCCTTCTTGTGCAGCCTGGCCAAGGGGGTGTTGCACCAAAGACTCCTGGAAGGGAGAAAGTTGGGAACTGCAGCAGGTGGCCTTGCTCAAGTATCAAATTCACTGACCTCAACTGGATCTTTCTTAGTAGATCTGGGCAATGGGAAGGGTTCCCCTCCTGCTACCTGCTTTTTCTTGAAGCCAAGGCCTCAAGAAAATAATGCTAGAGTTGGAGAAAGAAAATGGTTTTTGTGTCAGTATTGTTTTCACAGAACTGTAAAATCGGGACTTGGAGCTAGAGGATGACTTATAGAATTCAGCTAATGGTGGAGTTAGGGCAGCGCATATCTGCATGGAGGGGTTAGTGAGAATAACTTAAAAAAGGCACACACATTTTTTGGCTTTGTCAGTGTCTCTCCTATAATTTGAAGTAATAGGCATTCCTAAATATACTCTCTTTTACAGCAGTGGGTTCTTTCCACCAGGGCTTCCTTCGTAAGCCACATCTGGATATTTAGAAATAAAACAGATTTGAGCAGAACAAGGAGGAAGGACAATAAAAAGGGAAAGCATCCTGTTCTTTTCAGTCACGGTAGAAGAAAAAGAGAGAGAAGTGCCAGTGAAGAGGAGTGGCTTTTATGAATGCCATACAAAACGGCATCCCCCTGATGTCAGTCACAAAGAAGGACAGGTCAGGCTTGCACCCCTCCGTCTAGACATCTCTCTGCCCTGGCAACCAGGAAAGGATCTGAGGTTTTTCTGTTAGCTATAAATTTTAGAGCTTGGGTTTTTCTCATCAGGAAGCTACTTCCTACTGGATTCTGAAAGAGGTGCTGAAAACAAGTTTCGGGACCTTATCCTGGGAAGTGGAAGATGGGCTGAAGTATCTTCAGAGAAAGTAGCACGGTTTTAGAGGTGTGCCCTCTTGGAGGGGAAGGATTAGATTTGGGGTCTTGCGAGCACGTAGTTTCGCATGGGTTGTACCAGTCAGACCCAAGCTCGGTTCCTGGGGGAGAGGGGAGCATCTGTCTAGAGTTGGGCCAGTGGGCTGGTGGTATAGGGAAGCCTTGCTGCGTTGGGTGTGATGTCAGCTGGGTTTATGACTACCCTGTGAAAGGAGAATGAAGGGAAACCTTTCTAAAGGTGCTACAAGAGAGGTTTCTTTTTTTTTTTTTTCCCCCTCCTGAGGAAGATTTGCCCTAAGTTAACATCTCTTGCCCATCTTCCTCTATGTAGGCTGCTGTCACAGCATGGCCACTGATAGACAAGTAGTGTAGGTTTGTGCCCGGGAACTGAACCCTGGCTGCTGAAGCAGAGCTTAGCCACTTAACCCCTAGGCCACTGGGGCTGGCCCAGAAGGGAGGTTTCTATGGGCACCTGATTACTCCATGTCAACTATGCTAGACGCTAAGGGGCAGAAAGGGCAATGAGGGGTCCTGAAGGAAAGCATAAAGGTCCTTGGAGGCCGGAGTTCATCAACCCCTGCTGAAGGGCCATGTGTTTGCCTGTTATCCCCACAGCTGAAAGGAGAAGTCGGGAATCCTCACAGGGCTCGTTTCCTCCCCTATGGCTTGCATCTTCCTCTAAAAGCCAGTTCCTTGCTATCCGGCAGAAGGAAACGGAGCTGGCACGCATTTCACTGGGAGCTAGGCAAGATGGCAGCTTCCTGGTGTTCTTAAAGTCCTCCAAAAGTATGAAACTAAAAGGAAACATCTTTCTTCAAAAACTAAGAAGAGGTCCAGTTTAATGTTTGTCTAATCTAGAATCTTCTTGCCAGAGCTTTGGCCCAGCCCACAACTTTGGCTGCAGTGGTATGTGTACACCCTCATGCTCCATTTACAGAAGAAGGTCCGCAGTTGCCAAAGCTCAGCTAGGCAGAGGAGGGACAGTGGTTGCTGCAGAGCCACCAAAAAGAAAGATTCAGGGGTTGGGGAAGGGGGTGACAGCAGCCCCAGTGCAGGGCAAATAGTCCATTGGAGGGTTATAGTTCTTTCCTCAGGGTAGGGCCTTTACCATGGCTGGTCTTCCCGCGTCTAGAGTTCTCCCTAATCTGGCAGAGGCCACTCCAGAGCTGTTAATTAAGCCTTCCTTGAATATCTTTGAACCATAAGGTGGTTCGCCTGTTCTGTGTAGAGGGTGCTCTCAGAATTCTCCATTATATGTGTGTGAAGTTTCAACATCTGTGTTGTTCAGACCCAGCCTTGCAGGGACACCATGATGGCCTTGTTCAGCACTCTGTCCAGGCTGGGTCACTGGAGCCATGTTATTAGTTCTCTGCCTTCAGTGGTCACTGCCCTGCAGCCTTGGAGGCTGGTGTATTCCTCTGAGGAGACACTTGAGGGTTGCACAGACTGGAGCATGCTATGGCTCCCTCTGCTCAGGGCCCTCTTGGCCTCCTTAGCTCTGGGGTCCTCCATAGCCACCTCGCTGGCTGTTTTGCCATAACCATCAGCTAGAAGTCTGGGTAACAGCAGGTGTTCCGGGAGGCTGAGGTGTCATTTCCTCTCACCCAGCCCACTCTTGCCCATCTTTTTTTGTTTTTTAAGTGAAACTCATTCAGTATTTATTGGGCATCTATTATATGCCCCACACTGGACTAAGCTTTGAGATTACAGCAGTTTTTCTTGTATGGAATTTACAATCTAGACCAGATGTTATGGGACCCCTTAAGAGAGGATCCTTGAGCCAGCCCTGATGGCCTAGTGGTTAAAGTTTGGCACTCTCACCGCCTTGGCAGCCCAGGTTTGTTTCCCGGTCCCGGAACCACACCACTTGTCTGTCAGTTGCCATGCTGTGGCGGTGGCTCATGCAGAAGAACTAGAAGGACTTACAACTAGGATATACAACCATACCCTGGAGCTTTGGGGAGGAGAAAAATGAAAAAAGAGGAAGATTGGCAACAGATGTTAGCTCAGGGCGAATCTTTCCCTGCAAAAAAAAGAAAACAATGGATCCTTTATCAGATTGGAAAGTCAGGAAAAGCTTCCTGAAGCAGGCTGCACTCAAGTTGAGTCCTGAAATATTCAGTGAAGAACACTAGAAAAGGTCATTTGACAGAGAGAAAAGCATGGGAAAAGGTGTAGGCAGGAAAGCAATAAGGCCGGTTACCGGCCTCAGGATCTGCAACTGTCTCCTTAGAACCAAGGTGGGTTGAAGTGGTGACAGAGGTAGGAAAGGAGTCAGAGTATCAAGACTATAGACTATTCCCAGTAGTTTTTTTTGTGTGCGCGTGAGGAAGATTAGTCCTGAGCTAACATCCGTTGCCAATCCTCCTCTTTTTGCTGAGGAAGATTGGCCCTGGGCTAACATCCATGCCCATCTTCCTCTACTTTATATGGGATGCTGCCCACAGCATGGCTTGACAAGTGGTACATCGGTCTGCATCCAGGATCCAAACCCGCGATCCTTGGGCCGCTGAAGTGGAGTGCGTGAACTTAACCGCTGTGCCACCAGCCCAGCCCCCCAATAGTTTTGATTTTATGAAAATGGGGAGCCACTGAGGATTTTGAGCAGGACAGTGCTGTGAAATTTGTATTTGAGAAAAAGCAATCTGAAGAGTGTGGAGGATGGCAAGGCCAGGAGCTGGGAGACCAATCCTAAAGTGAATACAGTCACTTGTGTGGAAAATGATGATACAGTAATGGTGATAATAATAATTAACATGAATTATTAGGCTAAAAGCCTTTATGGATTATTTCATTTTATCTTGCAACAAATCTTTGAGGTAGGTGCTATAATTTCATGGCTATCTTACACAAATGAGGAAAGTGAGCCCTGGTAAAGTCACACTGCTGGCTAACAAGGGGCACTGTGGGTTTGCACCGAAAGCCTTTCACCAAAGTCCATACTGTTTACTGAACTCTTAAGCACTAACCAATCTATCAATAAGTCCTATTAACTCAGCTTCAAAAATGGATCTCACAACCAGCTACTTCTCACTCCCTCCACATCTATCACCCTGGCCCAGCCACCATTACTGTTGGCCTCAACTATTACAGGTGGCCCCTAACTGGCTTCCCCACCATCACCTGTCCCTATATTGTCCATTCTTACACAACAGCCTAAGTAATCATTTAAGTCTTAAACCATGTCACTCCCATCACAAGACCCTAAGTAGGCTGGCGTCTGCCTGCCTTGAAGTTTGACTCACTTGGGTTTCATTCTGAAGTGGAAACAAGACCACCTTACTTTCCACCCCGGGCTGTTTTCTCTCTTTCGGGAATGCTCTTTCCCCTTGTCTTCCTATGGCAGGCTTCTTCTCATCCTTTAGCCCTCTGCTCAAATAACTGCTCCCTCTTGACTAATTTTCTGTATAGAACTTATTCTAGGAGGGGTGGGGATATGTGTGTATTTTATATGTGAGGAGGCAACTTGTTTTTATGTCTTCTCAGTTTACACTTTCTCACTTTATTTGATGTTTTATTCTTCCTTATGACTGGTCATTTTTGACTTATCTATTATTTTTGAATTTTTCATAACTTCAGAGTCTCAAAGCACTGTACTATCATAATTCCTCCACTTTGACAATGAAGCTGAAGGTAAAAGAAATGAACTGGCTAGTCAGTGAGTAGCAGGACTGGATCTGAACTAGTTTGCAGTACTTTTTTTTTTTTTTTTTTTTTTGTGAGGAAGATCAGCCCTGAGCTAACATCCATGCTAATCCTCCGTTTTTTGCTGAGGAAGACCGGCTCTGAGCTAACATCTATTGCCAATTCTCCTCTTTCCGCCCCCCCCCCCCCAAAGCCCCAGTAGATAGTTGTATGTCGTAGATGCACATCCTTCTAGTTGCTGTATGTGGGACGCTGCCTCAGCATGGCCGAAGAAGCGGTGCATCAGGGCGCACCCGGGATCCGAACCCGGGCTGCCAGTAGCGTAGCATGTGTACTTAACCGCTAAGCCACGGGGCCGGCCCCAGAAGAATCTTTTTAAAGCAATTTAAAATCTGTTTTCCCAGTTTTTTCTTAAAACAGTCCAGGTGGGCAAGAAGTAAAATTTCTTCCATTTTATAGAAGAAGGGGATACAAAGAGGTAAGTGACTAACAGAAATGGCCGTTTTGAGTTCCAGTTATAATACTTTTTCCATTAAACCACTGTCTAGTTAACCAAATAACAATATTCCATTAAACTACTGATATGCAAAGGACCTTTGATGAAATCAGAAGTTAAGAGCAACAACATCATCCAGTGAGTTGCAGTTTGTTTAGGGGGCTATCATAAAGAGATATCATATTTGTTGGGACTCTCTTGTCTAAAAAGGACAAGATCAAGAAATGCAGCAGAATTACAAAATTGTGAGAGCCATGGCTAAAGGAAAATGTGGCCCAAGGAAGTACTCTTAAAAATTGGAGCATGGTAGTACTCTATATAGCACGTAATGAATTTATAGAACTTAGTACTTGAGGATGGTAGTAGAAATAGAGGTGTTTTCAAAAATTGGCATAGATAATTTTTTGAATGTTATATTAATATAAAGTTGGAATATATCTAATCTTCAAAATGAATGTTACAGAGGCCAACGTGACAGTTCATAATGATGGAATCCTGGAACAGAGGAGTATCTGAGTATCAGTATCCCTAAGATCAAAGCAAAAGTTTTAAACATTTATCCAATAATTCAGTGTAAACCAATCCCTATTTTTATATCCTGAAAGCAGAACTTTTCACCTTAATGAATGATTACACGGGAAATTATACCTGCCTTACTAGTCTGCTCCATCCACTTTACTTGTGGTTGAATTTGCCTTTTAGAAAAAGCAACCATTAAAGTTTCTTTTCCCTCTCCCAAGATTTAAGATAGTCAAGCATTATATACAAGTACAGAAAGGCCTATGCCAAGTAACAAAAATATAAGTCAAAATGATGTATGCACCCTGACAATAAGTGCATTGCTATACTCTATACAAAACGATGCTGGAGAGTTTACAAACAGTTGGTGATATAAAACAGTGGTTTCCAAGGAACTTACTTAACTAGACCTTTAGAGGGCCCTGGAAACCATTTTTAACAGGGGCCCCAGATGATTCTAGGTTTTTATTAAAAGTGGTTTGGGGAAGGACTTTCAACCTTCACGTGTGTCAGATTACATACACAATAAAATTAAATAATCATAATTGAACAAAAAATAATTTCTTTTTTTTTCAAGATTTTATTTATTCATTTTTCCCCCCAAAGCCCCAGTAGATAGTTGTATGTCATAGGTTCACATCCTTCTAGTTGCTGTACGTGGGACTCGGCCTCCCGTTGGACGGAGAAGTGGTGCCTTGGGGCATGCCCGGGATCCGAACCCGGGCCGCCAGCATCAGAGCGCGCTCACTTAACCGCTAAGCCACGGAGCCGGCCCAAAAAATAATTTCTTTATACAAAGTATTAATAGATACTAAGATGGTTTTTAAAGTGACATCATATGTATATAGTTGTATTCATAAAGATAAGTACACTAATCAAAAGCTGTACAAGATTGAGAAACATTTAACAGCAAATCCAAATGCAAACAAAGATATTCCTCTGAATTCCATGTTTCATCGAGCATCAAAAACCACCAGTCTTTTAGTCTTTTTCTTATACATTATTCTCTATCCACATTCTCTGCATCTGACTGGATCCCTGGATTTTATTTCATGTTCTGTGTGACATTCTCCATAGATAAATATCATTGGCTGCTGCTTTGGGGCTTGAACGTCCTTCTGGGTGTCCATTGTTAGTCCCCAGGTAGCACCTAGAAACTTCTCACTCTGCCCTTCCAAACAGATTCTGGCTGGTTGCTGTCCCTCCTTTCCTTTTTAAGCAAAGGACATGTGGGGTTCCTGCTCATGCCCCACTTATGTGGGCCATGGCCTTTCACCCTGCCTTTCCTTCTTGCCTTGTCCTATAGCATTGCCCTAAGCAACTGGTGGTTTGTGGCCCATCTGACAGACCTGCTGGACCACTGCAAACTCCTCCAGTCACACAACCTCTAGTAAGTGCACTGTGGCCACACCAACCCTCTCCTCCCCACCACCCAGGCCCTCAAGGATGGGGTGAACCAAATTCCTAGAAGGGAGGCTAGTTGGGCTGCAGGAGGCTCTGAATGGAGCAGGCCAGGAGTCTTGGTCTCATGTTATGTTGTATTCCAGCTTTGGATCCAACATGAGAGAGTTCCTCCTGCTGGAATATGCCTCGGGACTGTTTGCTCATCACAGGTAGGAAGGCCCCAAGGGTGTGGGGTGGCAGCAGGGTGCTCTTCAGCGTGCGGGTGCCACTGGAGCTTGGACTGTATTCTCTTTCTTCTGGTTCCCTGAAGGCTACAGGGGTCTGGGGGAGGAGCCACCTCGGTGCTAATCCCCAAGCTCTAGAGCAGCACCTGGGCTCACCAGGCCTACATGTCTGTCCTCCTTGGAACTTTGCAGCCTGTGGCAGCTGGGGGTGGATTACTTTGACTACTGCCCTGAGCTGGGCCGAGTTTCCTTGGAGCTGCACATTGAGCGGATCCCTCTGAGCACTGAGCAGAAAGCCCTCAAGGTGCTGCGGATTTGTGAGCAGCGACAGATGACTGAGCAAGGTGAGTTGGCCCTCCTCCAGCACACCCTCTGTGCTCACACTGTGCCACCCAGACTGGAGAGAGGCTGGGCAGTGGATTTCAAGAGGAAACCAAAACAGGAAAATTATTAGGGAGGGATAAAGAGCTAGGGATCCACTGGGACCTAGAAGCATTCGAGCACATTGCCTTTAAAAAGGTCCTGACCCATGTCTTCTCTCATACTTACTCCAAGAGGTCAGGGCTGGGGTGAGCTTTGAGTTTACCTGTCTCAAGCAGGTTGCTGTTGCTGCTAAGGCTGGCTCAGTGCTGAAGCAGGATGAGAGGCAGCTCAGGAAGAGCACAGGAAGGACACAGTGATGGAGTTTGCCTCTTTCTCCCCTCACTGTTGAGGGATAAGAACCTAAGTTGTTATTCTTCCCAGAGGCATTTGCATGTTTATGACCGTCTGACAGCATATGGCATTCAAGACCCTAGGGATGATAGGATTTTCGGCACCTGGATTGATAATGGAGGAACTGATCTGTAGGGAGCAGTAAAGGTCTTTTTGCCACCCCTGAAATCAAACCCACTCACAAAGCATATCCTGCCAGAGTGGGTCATACTGTTAACAGAGCCAGGAGACAATTTATAAACCCCAAAGTTTCCAGTTCTGCCGACCAAGCTGTATTTGAAACTCGTGGAGAGGCCTTGGAAAGCTCAGAGGAAGTGGGAAGGCTGCTCCTATCCCAGCAGGATTCAGAAATGGAGTGATTTATAGGGTGAATGGTTCACCTTTTCTCTTGTCCCCTGCACAGTTCGCAGCATTTGTAAAATCTTAGCCATGAAAGCTGTCCGAAACAATCGCCTGGGCTCTGCCCTCTCTTGGAGCATTCGAGCCAAAGATGCCGCCTTTGCCACGCTGGTGTCAGACAGGTGGGTTCAACTGGTGTTGGCTTCCGGGGGACTGTCTGGGAAGTTGGGAGGCTGAGGAAGTGGGCCTGGGACTACTGCTCTGATCTCTGAGCCCGGCCTTTCAGGTTCCTCAGGGATTACTGTGAGCGAGGCTGCTTTTCCGACTTGGATCTCATTGACAACCTGGGGCCAGCTATGATGCTCAGTGATCGACTGACGTTCCTGGGTAAGTCTCTTCTGGCTCTGTCCCCTGGACCTTTGGCACAAATGGACAGTTGTGGAGATTGGAGTTCTAGACCTCTCCAGTGTTTCTTTCCTGTTAAGCCCAAACTCCAAACCACATAGAACCCTGTGTGGCAGACTCTGTAAAGCATGTGTTTGGGTAACATTTTATTTTCCAGTAATTTCAAATTTAGAGAAAAGTTGCAAAAGTAGTATAAGGAATAAGGATCTCCCATATACACTCTACCCAGATTCACCAATTATTTATATTTTGCCTCATTTGTTTTATCATTCTTTCAGTCAGTCAGGTTTTTTGGAGAACAATTGGAAAGTAAGTTGGAGACATTGTTCCCCTTTCTCCATAAATACTTGAGCATGTATTTCCTCAGAATAAGAACATTCTCTTACATAATCACAGTTATTAAAATCAGGAGATTCAACATTGATACAATACTCTCATCTAATCCACAATCCATATTCTCATTCCATCAGTTGTCCCAGTCATGTCCTTTATCGTGTCCGGGTTCACGAGTTTAGCCGTCATGTCTCTTTAGTGCCTCTGCCTTTCTTGGTGCTTCTTTTTTTTTTTTTTTTTTTTTTATAATTTTATTTATTTATTTTTCCCCCAAAGCCCCAGTAGATAGTTGTATGTCATAGCTGCACATCCTTCTAGTTGCTGTACGTGGGACGCGGGCCTCAGCATGTCCGGAGAAGCGGTGCGTTGGTGTGCGCCTGGGATCCGAACCCAGGCTGCCAGCAGCAGAGCGCACGCACTTAACCGCTAAGCCACGGGGCCGGCTTGGTGCTTCTTAACCTTGATATTTTTGAAGAGTCAGTTCAGCTCTCTTGTAGAATGTCCTCAGTTTGGGTTCATCTGATGTTTCCTCATGATCAGATTGATTGTGTTTGGAGCAGGAATGCTACTGAGTTGATGTGTCCTCCTCGAGGCTGCCTGTCCCCTTATGGTGGAGTTTGCTCTGATCCCTTGGTTAACGTGGCATCCACCAGGTGTCTCCCCTGTGCGGCACTGATTTTTCCCTTTGATTTAATAATTTGTGGAGCGACTTGGGATTATTTAATAACGTCTTGTTCCTCATCAACACTTTGCACCCACTAGTTTTAGTAACTACTGGTGATTTTCTGACTCTGTCATTCCTTGTGTTTTAGTTGGCATTTCACAATACAGAAGATGTTCCCTTGGTCCTGTCCATTCTTTCATTTACATTAGTAATTGACTCATGGGTTATTTGATTCAATGTGTTAAATTCTATGGCTCTTATTTATATTGATGGTTACATTCTCCCAGGTTTGGCCCTTTGGAGCCCCTTCAAAGTGTGTGTTTTGAATCCTTTTGGTCTCATTGGTCTGTGAGCTTGGAGACAGCTCTGTAAGAATCTCCCTGCTCTGCGGAATGGCTGGCCTGGGGTCTCTCTTCTCTTTTTTAGGGCCAGAGGTGACCCTAGCACTCTCCTTTCTCAATAGGGAAGTACCGTGAGTTCCACCGATTATATGGGGAGAAGCGTTTTGTTGATGCTGCTTCTCTTCTCCTGTCATTGATGACTTCTCAGATTGCCCCACAGTCTTTCTGGATGACACTACTAACAGATGCGCTGCCCCTTTTGGAACAGAAACAGGTACAGGTTGAATCCACGGTGATTTTCTTCTCTGTTTTCTAGTCCTTGACAGTGCTTGATTCGGTAGTTGTTGCAGATGCTTAGTCGGCCCTCCATACCCACGGGTTCTGCATCCGCAGATTCAACTAACCTTGGATTGAAAGGCCTGTGATGGTTGTACTTGAACATGTACACTTATTTTTCTTGTCATTATTCCCTAAACAATACAGCATAACAACTATTTACAAAGCATTTACATTGTATTAGGTATTAAAAGTAATCTAGAGATGACATGAAGTATACAGGAGGATGTGCATAGGTTATATGCAAATACTCCACCATTTTATGTAAGGGACTTGAACATCTGCAGATTTTGGTATTCATGGGGGTCCTGGAACCAATCCCCACTGTGGATACTGAGGGAGGACTATATACATACATCATCTCCCAAGTGAGGTCCCTATGTGTATGCGTATTCCCCCATAGCACCCACTCTGGAAATCTGATATCCACCCAAGAAAAACTACTTAATTTGAAATGAGGCAGCTATCTACTGACCATACTCAGCCCAACGCCCTGACACGAAGTGCTGGGAGTGAGAATAGGGGTATACAAAGCACCCTCCCCCAAAGGGCACACAAGGAAGGCTATATCTGCACTTGGGCCCACGCCCAAATCTGTGCAGGCCTTGGCTGGGGAGCAGCTAAGCAAAGCAGCCTCTCTCTCCTAGGTGATTTTTTCAGCAGAGCAAACGTATGAGCTGATGAGATGCCTGGAGGACTTGACCTCAGGAATGCCAGTGCGTGGAGAGCCTGATGCCCAGCGACTCCAGGTCATTTTAGCTTTCCTGTTGGTTCAACGATGGAGATGAGAAAGGCTCCCTCATCTCCAGCTCCCCTCACCTCCCTACAAAAACGCTGGTCCCTTACAAACTCATGTGCCTAAGTTACCTCTTAACCTGTAACTGTGACACACCAACTTCTTTTAGGAGAAAATGGGGTGATTTTAGTGTTCTGGTCTCTATTATTTTTTCTTTCCTGTCAGTCAGTTGCAGTGGTCCTTTGCATGCAGCTCTCATATTGAGGACTTACTAGAAGCTACTACTGAATGTTAAATGCCTTCTACCTACCTACCTTTGGATTAGATAGAGCCTTTGGGAGCTTTAAAGAAGGAACACTTCCTGCTGTGCCTCATGCTAGCTCTCTTTGCTTTTAGGATGATGACATAGAGACCACCAAGGTGGAAATGCTGAGACTTGCTCTTGCACGAAATCTTGCTCGGGCAATTATAAAAGAAGGCTCATTGGAAGGTTCCTGAGGCCAGCTGAGAGCTGCTCCAGCGTGGTATCTTTCTATGGCAATGTATATAAATTTTTAAAAGAATAAATGTTTCCTTTTACAAATATAAGGCAAATTCTTAGAGTTCAGCTAGGGAGATTTTATCTACCTCCACTGTGAACCTGAGGTGGCAACAATTAAGAAAATGCTTGTTATGTTCTTTGACATGGAACTGACTTCCCTGTCTCCTTAGAAAAAAAAAAAGCCACCCCAGAAGTTATGAATGGTGAGTGCAGTGCCCTCCTGCCTATAATTAGAAACTATAATTAGAAACTTGAACAAAAGCCTTCAGTACTTGTGCTTCTGAAATCTGGTGTCACCTGAGAATCATCTGGAACAGATGTGGAACACTCATCTGTTAACTTTCTGGTTATCTCCTTTAGAAAAGAAAAAGGTCCAGGAACGTACGTACGTGCGTGCGTGTGTGTGTGTGTAAGCTAACATCCATGCCAATCCTTTTTTTTGCTGAGGAAGACTGGCCCTGAGCCAACATCCACTGCCAATCCCCCTCCTTTTTTTTTCCCTTTCCCCCCGAAGCCCCAGTAGATAGTTGTATGTCATAGTTGCACATCCTGCTAGTTGCTCTATGTGGGACGCTGCCTCAGCACAGCCGGACAAGCAGTGCGTTGGTACACGCCCGGGATCCGAGCCCGGGCCGCCAGCAACGGAGCGCGCGCACTTAACTGCTAAGCCACGGGGCCGGCCCCCAGGAACCTGTACTTTACTTTTAACAAAAACCTCAGGATGCCAGCACATGCACTTACCTACATTTGGAATTTCGTAAGTGGCACCTTCCCCCATTGGGTGAATGGTGTCTATATTAGAAAGATTCCAAGTAGGGCAAAACTGGTTTTATTTAACATGCAGCAAAACAAGGGCAGCGGAGTTGCTATATCCAGTACAGCTATTTCTCACAAAGCAGTGACTCAATAGTAACGAATAACACTCATAATTTTCACATCTAAAGCTTATTAAATAAAGGTACATTTCCACATAGTAATCCCACAGATCTTCCCACGGCTGCAGCAGCCGGTCTCTGGAAAGCACTTGGATTTATTCCTTAAGTAGTGAAATCAATTCACTTTTCACCTGTCCTAATGAAGCAGTGAAACCTGCTTGCTAAAGATGGGAGGGATGGGGGAGACGACCTTTTGATGGAGTAAGGAAGCCTGGCATAAGGAGTAGGGAGGGATCAGGGAATGTGGTTTGTGCCACCTTTCCCTGGAGATGGCTCTGAGCCTGTCCTGCTGAGCTCAGGTGAGCTGTGTGCTCTTTCCCCAGCTGGGAGTTCTCACTTTCCTGTGGCCCCGTGAGGCCTAGAGTCCTTGGTCCAGCTGCATCTAGTAGATGGAGCAGCTGGGAGAAGCCAGCTGGGGTTGAGCACTGTTGAAGCAATAGGGTCTGGTGACTCGATTCAAGCATGGCCCCTAATCTCACCACCTCCAGACCCAACATCTCGCTGACAGTGCCCGTCAGCAGCTGGGGGCAGTCAGGGTTTCTGGGCAGCAGGTAAGGACATAAATCTAGTGCAATGTGCCTGATCCTGAGGCCTCCTGTTCCCGACCGTATGCCACAACACAGGCCATCTGGTGGGAGGAGGGGGGAGGCTGAAGCAGGAGGATGCAGAGGGTGGCAGGAGTTGTCCTCCCCTTCAAAGACTTGAAGGGCAGGAGAGCAGTTTATTTCATGCCAAGCAAGAGGTAGTGAGTAGGATGGCCTGTTCCCACAGCAGGAGGTACACTTTTCCCAGAAAGCTCTGAGTACCTGCTTCTGGAAAGGGGGAAACACTGGTTCTCTTCCATTCTTTCCTAGCCCTAGTTTAGGGGCTGCCATGAGGCCAAGTTTTGTTTCTGATAGGCTGAGTTCCACATCTTGCTGAGATGTCCATAGGACACAGCCTGCTACCACCAGGGACAAGCCCACAACTCATCATCCATTGGCCATTCCAGGATGCTGCTGCTCGCGGAAGGCAGGGTTGAGGATTCAGCAGCACACCAACTCCTTATTTTGCGCCCAGGGCCATTTGGGGTCGCTGGGCTTTGCCCACCTCCCTGGAGGTGGGAGCAGGAGCCTGCCAGCAGGGGAAGCACAGAGTAGCATTGGGGGGCTGAGGCCTCTGGGAGTGTGAGGACATGGTCTTTGAGGGAGGGCCTGGAGTCTCTCTTTAGAGACCTCCCACCTTGTGGCAGCAGGGGCTGCCAGCACGAGGGGAAAAACCTACTCCAGTCTAGGGTCCATGTTCCCAGGGCGGTAGTGCACAAGAGTGTGGGGCCACTCCCCACCCCTGACAGTACATGGCCACTTCAAGTCACACAGGTAGATAAAAACAGGTCTTTTTAGGGGGCCAAAGGAGGCAAGATCATCACAGCAGCAGCTCAGCTCCCAGCAGCAATGCTTTGGACCCCTATTCCATATCAAAGCTCTAAGCACTGCAGTTGGGACATGGAGAATGACTGGACCTGGAGAGCCCTCTTGTCTCTGGGCAGCCTGTCTGGGCTTTGAAGTAGAGATGACAGCATCCTCTGGGGTCAGAGGTTCCCCCACTGCTCCACAGGAGGGAACTGGTCCACCTCACCCACCTCCGTGCTCAGCTGCTCCCCCAGGGTGAAGGTCAGCCTATACCGAAGCTTCGCCTTCTCCTGTGACAGAGAGACGGTGCATGAGATGTCCTCTCCTCTGCTACCCTTGGGGCCTTTTCTGTGCTGAGGGATAGGCCCTGCTCCCACCACCCATCCTTGCTCAGTTCCTGAACCAAGGTAAGGGAAGGGAGGTGGGTTAATGCTGCAGTATCATGACACTTCAGGTTGGGAGGTAGCTTCAAGGCTGGTCTCAAGGTCCTAATCTTGGGGCAACCAGGGCTTCAGGCTGGGACCCCCCCCGTTCTAGCTCACCTTCAGTGGATTGGCCAGCAACATGACTTGGGTGATGGCTGCAGGTGGCTGGATGGGGCTAAATGGAGAGAGTTCTGTCCCAGAGGGTGGCTGCAACTTCACTTTCATTGACTAAAGAGAAAGAGAGAAGCTCCTTTGAAGAGAAATGGCAGGTACTCCCCTGAAATGGAACCTGGTATAGTCACAGTGGATAGACACAGTGCCACCTGCTAGCCAGAGGCCCTTGATGCAGTGGGTTCAAGATAAAGGTAATTTCTGCCTCTAGAGGCCCCAGGAAGCCAGGGATACCTTGGGCACTGCGGCCTGCAGCACGATGCTCTTGATAGGCAAGGGAGCCGTATTCAGCATGGACACTACCACCACCAGCACGTCAGGCCGTCCTGGTGGACACTCCTTGGCAAAATGGAAGAGGATGCGGAAGCCGTTTTTATCATAGGCTGTCACAGGAAGGGCACTGCCTGTAAGAAGGTGGTATGTGGGCATGGAAGGAGAGATACCCACATAAGCCCTGGGGGTGTCGGCTGCAGCCAAGTAGGGAGAGCAGGGCAGCCCTGTGGTGATGAGGCTCCCTGAAGGAGTCTAGGAAAGAACCTCTGTCAGAACTCCCCAGAGTGCACAGTGGCAAAAAGCAGAGGCTGAGACAGCAGAAAAGCAGGTCATGTTTGGCTCTAGGGAACGCCAGCAAGAAAAGCCTGTACCCACCCACCCACCCACCACCCCACACTCCCCACATTGCTGCAAGCTGTGGGCCCCACCTCTCCTCCCACCCCAAGCCGCCAACACCTACTAGGCTTGATAGATTCCAGGGGGACGTGCACACTGGCCAAGGAGAGCTCGAGCCCCTTAATGGGGCTGCCCTGGGCCTGGCAGGCAGGCAGCTGGAAGAGAGGGCTGCCAGGCCCCGTGGAGAAGGGGAGGAGAGGCCTAGCTGGGGTGGTGGTGGGGATCAGAGGGGAGGTCGTAGCCCCAGGGAAGAAGTTGGAAGAGATGGGTTTCGCCAGGCCTGAGGTCCTGGAAGGCAGGAAAGGAGCACAAGGCAAGTCAGAGACCAGGCAGGACTGCTGGGTCAACCCTCACAAAGGCCCTCCCAGGCCAGACCCTCCCGAGCTTCCAGATTCTAACCTGACAGATCACATCAAAAGGGAACATCCCCAACCCCTCTGGAGCTGCCTCTGGTTCTGCACAAGCCCAGGCCCCAACCTGCCCCAGCCCCACCTCTCCCAATCATTACGCTTTGGCCTCTTCTAGAAGCTGATCAAGGGCATCCAGCTGGTGCAGGGTGCTGTCGCCCAGAGCTGAGCCGTGGTACCCAGGGGCTGTGGGCTCAGCCTTTGGGGCCGAAGATGGGGCCAAGCCAGCAGACAACAAGAAGGAGCCAGCTTTGGGGGCAGGAACGCTGGCTGGGACCACAGGAGCTGGGCAGGGGGGCGGCAGTGGAGCCTGGGAGCTGCCTGCAGGGGGTGCTGAGGGCTGGAAGAGAGGCCCATCTGAGGGGCTACAGGCAGCAGTCCCAGGTTTGGGGCCAAAGAAGTCCAGGTCCGACTGTTGATTCTATTGGGAATGGAAAGCGTGAGTGAACAAAGGGCATGGAGGATCTGCTGCAGGCGGCAAAAGGTTTCGGCTTTCCACCCCATGGCCCCCTATGCTGGGGGCCCTATTGCAACCCCACTGGAATAGCAGCCCTCTGAGGAGAGCCAAGGAAAGCCCTGGGATGCGATCCCTCTTCCCAGCCCCACCCAGGGCAGTGCCCCAGGGTTAGGATAGCGGGCTGTAGCTAACTGCAGCTGAGGACTAGCCAAAAAGGGAAGATACTATTATATGAAGGTTGTCGAGCACTTCAGTGACATCACCTGTGTCCCTACCTGGAACAGGGGCCACTGGCTGTTTCCATCTGACTCTTTGGGAGGAGCACTGGGGGCTGGGTCAGTGAGGCCTGAGAACAGAGAAGACAACCACGATGAGAAGAGGCTCTGGGCTTGTGCCAGCCCTAGCCCCACCTCGCCTAAGGAAGGGTCACATGACAAAAGTGGCATCAGTGGGTGACAGGGTGGGAGGTGTTCCCCAGGCAGCCTCCAGACGGAATGGACCCTCTTCAGCCCTTATATTCAGAGGGGGGCCCTCCAGGGGAGAGAGGAGCAGAGAGAGACACTTGGTCCACCATGTCCACTCTGGAGGTTG